AAGTTGGTATGGTAAAGTACGTCTATCAGTGTGAGGTTCTTGCTTATGGATAGTGGTTCTTGCGAGGTACTAAGGCCAGAAGGTGATGGAGTTCCTTTTGCGTTTCGGCGTAGGTCTTACATCTGCGATTAATGGTAACTGATGTCTGTTTGGTGTAGAAACTGGTTGAGATTCAGCTTCCATGTCTTCCACCACACCTACGTTTTTGAAAGAGTCTATGATTTTAGCAAATTGATCAAGGGTATCTTTTTGGAGTCGGCGATATGACTTCTTAGCCCAATTTATTGCTTCGAAAGTGAATTGTTTAAAATTTGATTCCGAAATATTGCGTGCTTTGATCAAGGAAATTTTTTCAGCCAGCTGTGAATCATAATGATTCTTAAGTGCTATCGCCACGTTTTTAGCCCAAACATTATTTACTGTCTCGATAGCCGAGGAAATAGCAGAATTTTTTAAAGCTGGTTTAACAAACCGATTGAGATCCGAAATTTTAGAGATAAAACCACGTGTGGGAGAATCACTGACTTGCTTTGAAATGACGGAAGCATGGTGAAGACATTGTAAGATTTGGAATAATATCTTCACTGCTGGATTGGTCTCCTGTTTTTGGTGGTTATCAGGGTTGTATGGACGACGGTAGTTGTTCTGGCGGTTGGGATTAGTGTTTCCTCTCTGATGCTGGTTTTGGCGATAGTTTGGTTGATTATGCCGATAGTTTGGTTGATTATGCCGATAGTTTGGTTGATTATGCCGATAGTTTGGTTGATTATGCCGATAGTTGGGTTGATTATGCCGATAGTTGGGTTGATTATGCCGATAGTTGGGTTGATTATGACGAAAGTTGGGTTGATTATGACGAAAGTTGGGTTGATTATAGAGATACGAATGCTGGGGAAAGTAATTTTGCCTGGGATATTGCCAATGAGATCTAAAGCGATGGTCCATGGTAGCTCAAAAACTAAATAAATATGGTAAAAGTACTTAAAAAGCACAAAAAATACTTAAAGGGTAAAAAGTACCTAAAACGGCAAATTTTTATTTGAGAAGACAAAAAAGTGGAAAAAAATATATAACAACTTACATCAAATATCTTACAAAAATTAACAAAAAATGGGGGGCTCCTCGAAATATACGATCCGGATTTCGCTATATTAGCTTCTTCAGATTAATTTATTTATGACCTATAATAATCTTAGCAGAAAATAAAATTGCCACTTTCTTTTTATTGCTAAGGATTAGCGCAGTCGGAAGCCAGTTGAATTGGTGCCTGCTAGGCCATTAAGTGCTGTGGGTTAGAATCCCGCTCTGTATTCCACGGTCAGTGTTTGCTAGAGACAGCCCGCTGTTTGCTTTTATTCCCTCGGCCTAACTAACACCAATAACCAAAACTGTTGTGTGTATCTTGCAGATAGAGTTCTATTAATGGTACAGAAAAAATTCGAACAGGTTCATGTATCAAAAATTCACTACTCTATATGAGTGTATGTTAAATTATTTTAAGTGAAAATTGAAATAAAAAAGTTATTTTTTTAAGTGTTAAAAGATTACATAATCAGATTAATCTGTTTATGATCCAAACTACTTCACACCTGCATGTCAAAAGTTCATATGGATAGCTTTCCTATCATATTATATAACCTGTTATAACACCTGTCAATCATTTTAATCCCCACAATCTACAGATTTTTATCACATTTTTTTTTATAAAATTTAACACTTTTATGCCTATTTTCATAAATTCAATTTTGTATTAAACCACCCATGTCACATATCGTTGA